ACCTGCGTGTTCTCCCTTTTCCCCATCTTTGGGTTGGATGGATCTCTAATCTACTTCTAGGCCAATCTCAGGCCCTTTGGAGTCATCTGCTCCCATCACAGTGATGCTTCCCTGAGATACTCCAGGTTCTCTTCTCTGCGTTTTGCCACTCTCTGAGGCTCCACCAGGGAGACAAGACCCTGATTTCTTCTTCTTTTGAACCTAACAAACATAAGCTAGATTTTGCCCCTTCATTTTCCTCCACCGCTTCCAGTCCAGGCTGAGCCCAGGTAACTGGAGCAGGGCCTCCTTTCTTCCAGACCCACCAACAATGATTTCTCACGTACCTTCCATTTCCCCTCAGCACTGTCTTCTCTCCCAACCTGGGAAGCCCTTGTGCTTTCTCAGCTGTTTTTCCTCACCTATTTTTCTGTGCCCTTTAAAAACCGAAACACCAGGAAAAAGATACCTTTTTTCTCTGCTTTCTCTTATCATATCCCTTCTTCAAGGCAATGATTAGAGAAAGAGTAACAAGGGGAAAGGAAATGATGGGGGACTATGTCCTTAAAGTATTTCAATTATTCCTCCTTTCATTCCAACAATGCATGAGTGGAAAAAAGTACACAGCTGAGTTACTTAATCTTATTCAAACTCCCGTAATTAGTTTAGACAGCCCGGCTATGTTTCAGAACATCCGGAGTGAAGATCATATTGAATGTCTCCCCTCCCTCAGCCTCTGAAAGAACAGATAGCATCTCCATTGTACGTTTACAGCTACAAAGATTTCCACTTCACAATTTTCCAAAAACACATAAATTCAATTCCAGTAGAACTAATGAAAGCTAGCAAGCTCAGACCAAGAGAAATGTGGCCAGATAACATCCACCAATTGCTGCACTTTGAGTTTTATTTGAAGCATTCAAGTTTTCAGGAAAGCCCCCTGCCTCCATTCGTGCCCTTTTAATAGTCAAAAACAGAAGCTAGTGAAAGTAAATTTTAATGCATCTAGTTTTGGACTGTCCCATCTGGCTGCACATTTGGATCTCATGCCATGAGAGCAGTTGCATTCATTTTTCCATTCATGCGTTCAGTAAATATTTAGTGAGTATGTGTTAGGCACTGTGCTGAGAACTCATAGTCACAACCAAGCATGCGTCAGTTTGGTTCTTCTTAATGTATTTTGGGCTCATTTCTCAATCCAACTTGACCATTCTATGGAAACAAATTTGAAAAACCATTAAACTATTAAATGCTCTGGCCAGATACATTAGTTATTATGGGCTAAGAAATGTGTCATCAGAAAATGTGTGATTAAGGAAAAAAAAGCATTAATAATGGCTTTCAGCTGAACAGGCAGAGAACGGAATGAAAAGACCTTTTATTAATGTGTAACTGTGCGAATGAAGCAGGGTGGTGAGAGTGCTTTGTGCCATCAGAGTATCAGGTTAAATGCCACTGCATTATTACTGGTCTAATGAATTTTAAAAGTATCATTCTAACGCAAATCTAGTGAGCAACAAAGATAAGGAAATTCTGCTGCCACAGCTGAAAACATTGCCCCCACCAAGGCACTTTCGAAACCAGCATATGCTCAGAATGGATTACACTTTGCACCCATTGGAAACTCCCTCCTCAAAACAAACATCTCTTTGAACTTGCAGTTCTTAACTCAAGTTAAAGACTAAGAAAAAAAGCACTAATTGTAATCTAACAGTTAGGGGACCAAAAGGCCATGTGTTTGCCTTAGTTCACAATGTCATGCATATCCACAATTTCTAGTTCACTGAAAGTAACTATTCGATGTTACATTTTTCCCTTACATATCCTATATTTTTTCCTCCAAAATCAAAAGCTGAAACTCTCTTTGTTAAATTTCTATTAATTAGCAATAATTACAGGGCTTACTGCCAGCTGAATCAGATCATTGCCTACAAAGAAAGCTTCCCTTACGGAAGTTCCTGGGTTGTTTTCTGTTCTTTTCCTATGGCACGATTTTATTATTTATAGAATAGTTAATGGGTCAAAGCTATTTCCTTATGAAATCTAAATAAAGTGGATATTCAGATGAGCTCCCATCTAGAGATTAGTGACTTTGAAAATGCAATATATAAAAGAGAAATAAAAATATCCTATCTCAAATGCTTAACCAGCAGTTACAGTATAAGGATTAACCCTATTTTACATACAACACTTTTATTTAAAGCACATTTTTGTCATAAAAGCCATGTCTGTGCAAATCTACATAGGAAGTGGTAAAAAGGAAGAAAGAAACAGTTTCTTCAGTTACGAGCCATAAAATACCTCATTATGGTATTTGTAAGTCATCAGGAACCATGACTCAGTCTGCACCAATGGAAACCAGGCTTTTGGATAGAAGAGAGGTTTGCTGACTCAGGATCTTCTTGTTTCCCCCAAATTAGGCCCTTTGCCTCAAAGTCCCAGGGCTTCATCTACAGATCGAATTGGGTAATTCTTAGGTAACACCGTACAAGGGGTTAGTAATAAAAGGTGAGCTAATTATAGCCTCAAATCCAATGCACATTATTTGACAAAGGATATTGAAAGACAGTAGGTAGCGCAGAGGGTCAGTAGTAGAGGCTATCCTTGTAGAGTCAGAAGCAAAGCTCAAACCACATGATAGAAGCTACTCTGGAGAAGACCCTATAGCTCATACTGATAGGGATAGGACTAGATGCCAAGAGCTCTGCCATGACTGCTCTTTAAACATGGGATGTTTCCAATACCACTTTCACCAATAGATCCTTTCTTCACTGTACTTTTATTTACCCTTAAATAAGAGGTATGCACAGGGTGAACCCCAAATATCTGGGATAGGGCTCAGTCAATTTTAGGAAGTTTATTTTGCCAAGGTTCAGAATGCAACCGTGATGCAGCCTCAGGAGATCCTGACATGTGCCCAAGGTAGTCGGGGCACAGCTTGTTTTATAAATTCTAGAGGGACATGAGACATCAATCAATATATGTAAGATGCACATTGGTTAAGTCCAGAAAGGTGGGAAAACTTGAAGTGCAGAGGGGGCTTCCAAGTCATAGGTAGAAAAGAGACAAGTGGTTGCATTCTTTTGAGTTTCTGATTAGCCTTTCCAAAGGAAGCAATCAGACATGTATTTATCTCAGTGAGCAGAAGGGATGACTTTGAGTTCTGTCTATCTTTTGTCTACAGGGAAGTTCCTTGTGAACAAATTGTGAGAGAGATAGGTAGCTTTTTTACCTTTTTTTTTTTTAAAGAAAGTTTCACTCTTTTACCCATGCTGGAGTGCAGTGGCCTGATCTTGGCTCATGGCAGCCTCCACCTTCCTGATTCAAGCAAATCTCCTGCCTCAGTGGGATTACAGGCATACACCACCACACCCAGCTAATTTTTGTATTTTTAGTAGAGACAGAGTTTCACCATGTTGGCCAGGCTGGTCTCAAACTCCTGACTTCGTAATCTACCCGCCTTGGCCTCCCAAAGTGCTGGGATTACAGGCGTGAGCCTCTGTGCCCGGACTTCTTTTTAAATCTTAGTAGCTATCTTTATTAGGAATAGAATGGGAGGCAGGCTTGCCCTAAGCAGTTCCAGCTTGACTTTTCCCTTTGGCTTAGTGATTTTGGGGTCCCAAGATTTGTTTTACTTTAGCAACAGATAGGGCTGAATCAGGGTCACATGCATGTACCCTAGCTGCAAGAAAGAATAATTTGAGGAAGAGGAAATCAATGTGGAAATTCTACAAACAGTGGGTCAAGGGATGCTAGGTGATCACAAACCCGAATAATGCTGACTTCAGTCTACCCTCTGACTGTTCAAAGGTAATATTCAGCTCTCCTTCTATACCAGCATTTTCCAACACTCCATTTTGACAGCCAAGAACATGTTCCTCTTCTTCATGTCATATCCTTTTTCTAACAACAGTCAGGATTTCTTCACAACTACTTCCCCCAATTCATACCCAATTATCCTCTCTTCTCTTGCCACCATTACATAACCACACAGCTCTCTGTTTTTGTAGGGTCAGTAATTCCCCATGGAAACAATGGTTATTTATTGTTTTGATTGTTACTATGTTAAGCTTTGGGAGAGATGGTGTGGACAGTTAATTTTGTCAACTTGACTAGGATATGGTGGCCAATTTTCTGGTCAAATACCAATCTAGATGTTGTTATGAAGGTATTTTTTAGGTTTGATTAACATTTAAGTCAGTAGACTTTGAGTAAAGCAGCTTACTCCATAAAGTGTTGAGCCTCATCCTTAGCATTATTCAATTTCCACTTGAAGGCTTTTAAGAGAAATGACAGAGGTCCCTCAAGGAAGAAGGAATTCTGCTTCCAGATTGCCTTTAGACTCAAGATTGCAACATCAGTTCTTTCCTGGGTCGTCATCCTGCTGGCCTGCCCTACAGATTGCAGACATGCCAACTCCCACGATGGTGTGAGGCAATTCCTTAAAATAAATATCTCTCTCTCTCTCTCTCTCTCTCTCTCTCTCTCTCTCTCTCTCTCTCTCTCTCTCTCTCCCTCTCCCTCTCCCTCTCTCTCTCTCTCTCTCCCTCTCCCTCTCCCTCTCTTCAACCCATTGGTTCTGTTTCTCTGGAGAATCCTAATACAAGGGGGAGGAAGGTTGAAGGATATTAAGAAGTTCCTGGCAGGGAATTTTTAAGACATAATTTATATATATATATATTTTGTTTAGTCTATCTTTATTCTATGAAGAAACATAAAATATGTATTTTTAAATGTTCCATTGTATTTTTTTGTCAAGAATTTTATTGTTCCAGTTTTTCTTTAAAAGTTTGGCTAAAAAGTTTGATATATCTCTTTCCTCATGCATACCCTTTGTTGGAAAGAAGGACTTGGTTGTAATTCAGGATTGCAGCCACTGGCTTGAATCTCTCCCAAAGTTTCTTGGGCTCTAGGCTTCCTCAGGGCTCAATGACCTAGTAGAACATTATTCTCTTTCTCAGGAAATAAATCTAACAATCTCCACTTTTCTCCTTATGTCAAGGGTGACTCACTAGAATGTAAGAGAGGACCAGATACATTATAATTCATGTATTCACTTTGTTCCTTCATTTCTTTTTTTTTTTTTTTTGAGACGGAGTTTCGCTCGTTACCCAGGCTGGAGTGCAATGGCGCGATCTCGGCTCACTGCAACCTCCGCCTCCTGGGTTCAGGCAATTCTCCTGCCTCAGCCTCCCGAGTAGCTGGGATTACATGCCCAGCTAATTTTTTGCATTTTTAGTAGAGACCGGGTTTCACCATGTTGACCAGGATGGTCTCGATCTCTTGATCTCGTTATCCACCCGCCTCGGCCTCCCAAAGTGCTGGGATTACAGGCTTGAGCCACCGCGCCCGGACCTCCATTTCTTTACTGTGTAAGAAATGTAAAGAAGAAACGTAAGAAGTGTTAGGCTTGTAAACCCAGAGGTTAATATGGCTCAGTATCCTAACAGCCTCATGTTCAAGAAGCACAGCCAGGGAGAATTCCACTGCTTTTAGAATTTCTCTAAGAACTTTAAATGGAGCCTAACATACATTAACACCTCTTCTAGCCACTTCCCACTACCCCCACCCCGCCATGACTCCAGGGCTCTCTCCTCAAATTAACCCTCAAAAAGCCTCTCTCCTGTAGCACATTATCTCATACTTTTAAGTCCTTACTCCAGCACTCGTCACTTATTACTATGTAAATATATGACAAGAGGTGGGGCAACTGGGATCCCAGAGAGATCTAAGATTGGCCGAGGAATCAGCATTGAGCACCCCAGAGGATTCTAATGGGGAGGCAGGGGTGGTCCGTGAAGAGCGGAGGGAATTGCACTTAAGACAAGTGCCAGTGGAGTACCAGTAAATCAAGCTCCCTCCCCTTCTTACCCACTAGCTAATCTCTCAATTCCATCCCTCTCTTCCTATTTTCCACCACTAAAGTCCAAAGAACAAGTTCATCAACAACAGAAATCCCCTCAGTGGGTGGAGGGAGTGGTGAAAGAAAAGGCAGAAATCCATTTCCCCATAGCTGGGAGAAGAGAAGTTAAGCATGCAAATACCTGGGGGCTGGGCTGGTAGATGGTGCAAAAATTCAATTCATTTTTGTCTGGTCCCAATTAATTCATTTGTTCATTTTTTTTCTTTCTTAAAATAAGTATTAAGATGCCATCGTGTTGTGTTCCAAGGCAGTGGCCTAGTTCTTGGGAATTCAGGAATAAATAAGAGCACAGTCCACGCCCTCGTTAACCTCCCTGTGGGTTTCCTCCCACCCAGCCTGGCTGCACCTGCTGCGCTTGGAGTATTTCACTCAGACTAGAAGAGTTGCGTCCCCTGGCGGTTCCCTTTTACAACAGCGGACCCCGGGAGCGGATGACGCTCCCTGCAGCGCTGTTATGGGCAGCAGCTTCCCAAATTCCTGGTCTCAGGGCCTGTTTCTGTCAGCAGTTCTCTTAAGGCGCCTGTTGACTCTGCACTTTGAGAAATCGATTCCTTTTTAGCGTCAGGGTTGGGCGGTTCGGCATCACCTCCCAGGACACTGCTCACAGTATGTGCTGCCAACAGGCAGCAGCAATGACAGATCAGACCTTTTCCAAACGTCCTTGCTCAAAGACACTGGAGCAGGTTGCTCAACTTCAGTATGTGCAGATGCTTTTACATCTTCCACAGCCCCCAGGAGCGTGCCTGCAAACTCCAAGAGACAAGTACTGTAAGTAACCCCTAAATCCATTAAGCAACCCCTAAATCCATTAAAGTATCCATCAAGAAGTTTTATCTATACCGTACATAAAATAATTTTCTTTTTTCTTTTATATTACTATTAAAAATGAAAAAGAGTGTTGAGGGGTCAAGGATCACCCAGAATATACCCATGGCCCCAAGCTTGACCCTGTATTCGAGGAGGTGAACCTTACTCCATCCCACAGCATTTCACTCCTAGTCATCTCCTGCTGGGCACCCCTGAAGCAAGAGGAGGAGGACTCACGCAACAATGGCTTAGAGCAAGCTTGTCCAACTCACTGCCCGCGAGCCACCGGAGGCCCAGGACGGCTTTGAAAGTGGCCAAACACAAATTCATAAGCTTTCTTAAAATATTACGAGACTTTTTTGTGACTTTTTTTTTTTTTAGCCAATCTGCAATCGTTAGTGTTAGTGTATTTTATGTATTCTGCAAATGTGGAAGCCAAGACTGGACACCCCTGGTTTAGCGTGAACTTTCAAGCCCCAAAAGAGTCCTCTCAGGACTGATGTGTGCAAATGTAGGTAACTAGAGAATTGGCAAAAGTGGAGCTTTTTTCTTTGCTCATTCCCTTCCCCCATCCTCAGAGGGCACAGGAACACCAGACAAGTCAAGTCCCAGAAACTGTCTCATAGTTCTCCAGCTTAAGTATGAGTGGAGGACACTGCTAGCAGCCTACCTAGTACTATCTATTCTTCATTACTAAGAGATTCTCCATTTTGTTCAAGGTAACAATGTACCCAACTACATTTCCCTTGTAGCTAAGGCTGACTACGGTCCAGGGTTTTAGCCTTAGTCTAGGCTTACAAGCAGTGCTATTAATCAGGGCTTCTGGAAAGCTCTTTAAAGGGCATAGGTTTAGGTAGTTTCTGCCCTTCACCCTACACCTTCTTCGGTATGTGGAGGCTATATGATATGGTTTGGATTTGTGTCCCCGCCCAAATCTCACATTGAACTGTCATCCCCAGTGTTGAAGGAGGGGCCTGGTGGCAGGTGAGTGGATCATGGGGGTGGACTCCCCCTTGCTGTTCTTGTGATAGTGAATGAGTTCTCATGAGATCTGGTTGTTTAAGGGTGTGTAGCACCTTCACCTTTCCCTTCTGTCTCTCTTCCTTTTTCTCTAGCATGAGGACGTGCCTGCTTCCCCTTCACCTTCTGCCATGACTGTAAGTTTCCTGAGGCCTCTTCACCTATGCTTCCTGTACAGTCTGCATAACTGTGAGCCAATTAAACTTTTCTCTGTAAATTGGTCAGTCGCAGGTAGTTCTTTATAGCAATGTGAAAACTGCCTAATACACTGTAGCAGAGGTGGAACTGCTGTCACTTACCAGGGTGGGGCTGTGAGCCTGAAAGCCACATGCTGAGGGTGGCAGGGCACTGAGCCTGAGTCCCTAGTGGCTCTATAGATCCTTTGTACTGGCCTCAGATTCCCTACCTCCAGATTTTATTTCTGTGAGGAAAACAAAAATCTGATTTGTTTGAACCAGTTTTTAGAGGCTTCAATTACTCACAACCAAGCACAATCCCAACTGATAAGCTATTTCAACAAAACTTGCATGTTATCCTCACAGTGGTATTTCAAGTCATATTTCTGTGAGATGTTTCTGAAGCATGATGCGTTTTCTCCTCCTTTGAGACTTACAAGTATTTTGGGCGAATTTGTTATTTTTCTTCTTTCGCAAAATGAAAAACGGATCCATATTTCCTGTATCTCACAATTTTGTTGACGTAGAGTTGATAGTTTAATATATCTAAAGTGGATCATACTGCTTTGTTTTTGTTCATGGGTTTAGATTAGTCAGGATTCTCCAGAGAAGCAGAACAAATAGGATGTAGGTTTATATAGAAGGAGATTTACTATAAATAATTGGCTTATGCAATTTTGGAGGCTGGCAAGTCTAAAATGTACACTGTGGGCCGGCAGGGGGAGACCCAGAAGAGCCAAGGTTGCAGTTCCAGCGGCCTAGAAATTTCCCTCTTGGTTGGGGTGGCTGGTCTTTTTACTCTATTGACTCGATGAGGCCCCCCCCCAACATAGGGAGGGCGATGTGCTTACTCAAAGGTCACTGACTTCAAGGTTAAACTTACCCAAAAACACCTTCTGAGTTGACACATAAAATGAACTATCTTTGTTTATTTATTTGTGTATTTATTTATTTTTGAGAGGGAGTCTTGCTCTGTTGCCCAGGCTGGAGAGCAGTGGTGCGATCTCGATTCACTGTAACCTCCACCTCCTGGGTTCTCCTGCCTCAGCCTCCCAAGTTGCTGGCATTACAGGTGCTGACCACCACACCTGACTAATTGTTTTGTATTTTTAGTAGAGACAGGGTTTCACCATGTTGGCTAGGCTCATCTTAAACTCCAGACCTCATGATCTGCCTGCCTCAGCCTCCCAAAGTGCAGGGATTACAGGTGTGAGCCACCACGCCTGGCCCATTTATTTCTTTTTTATGGTGATGAAGTATTTCATAGTACATTTGAACCAATTTTCTGTATCCAGTCTACTGGTGATGGGCATTTAGGTTGATTCCATGTCTTTGCTATTGTGAATAATGCTGCAATGAACACACGCTTCCATGGGTCTTTATGGTGGAAATATTTATATTTCTTTGGTTATATATCCAATAATGGGATTGCTGGGTCAGAATGTAACTCTGTTTTAAGTTCTTTCAGAAATCACCAAACTGTTTTCCACAATGACTGAACTAATTTTACATTCCCATCAGAAGTGTATAAGCATTCCCTTTTCTCCACAACCTTGCTAGCATCCGTTATTTTTTGGCTTTTTAATAATAGCCATTCTGGCTGGTATGAGACCACAAGCATCTCGTTGTGGTTTTGTTTTGCATTTCTCTAATGATTAGTAATGGTGAGTATTTTTTTTCATATGCTTGTTGGCTGCATGTATGTTTTCTTTTCAAAAATGTCTGTTCATGTTCTTTGCCCACATTTAATGGTGTCTTTTTTTTTCTTGTAAATTTAAGTTCCTTATAGATGATGGATATTAGACCTTTGTCAGATACATAGTTTGCAAATATTTTCTTCTACTTTGATGGTTGTCTGTTTACTTTTCAGAGGCTCTTATGTTAATTAGATCCCATTTCTCAATTTTTACTTTTGTTGCAACTGCTTTTGGCATCTTCATCATGAAATCTTTGCCCATTCCTATGTCCAGTATGATGTTGCCTGGGTTGCTTTCCAGGGTTTTTATAGTTTGGGGTTTTACATTTAGATCTTTAACCCATCTTGAGTTAACGTTTGTATACGATACAAGGAAGGAGTCCAGTTCAATCTTCTGCATATGGCTAGCCAGTTATCCAGCACCATTTATTGAATAGGGCGTCCTTTCCCCATTGTTTGTTTTTATCAGCTGGGTTGAAGATTAGATAGTTGTAGGTGTGCAGCATTATTTCTGTCCTCTTATGTTCAATTGGCCTACGAATCTGTTTTGTACCAGTACCACATTGTTTTGGTTACTAACCTTGTAATATAGTTTTAACTCAGGTAATGTGATGATGCCTCCAGCTCTGTTCTTTTTCCTTGGGGTTGCCCTGTCTATTGAGGCTCTTTATTTGGTTCCACATAGAGTTTAGAATAGTTTTTTTTCTAATTCTGTGAGGAATGTCATTGGTAGTTTGATAGGAATAATATTGAATCTATAAGTTGCTTTGGGCAGTTCCCATTTTAACAGTATTATTCCTATTCAGGAGCATGGAATGTTTTTTCATTTGTTTGTGTATCTCTTGATTCTTTGAGCAGTATTTTGTAATTCTCATTGTAGAGATCTCTCACCTCCCTGAATAGCTGTATTCCTAGGTATTTTATTCTTTTCGTGGCTATTGTGAATGAGATTGCATTCTTTATTTGGCTCTCAGCTTGGATGTTGGTGTATAGGAATGCTATTGATTTTTGTACATTGATTTTGTATCCTGAAATTTTGCTGAAGTTGTTTATCAGATCAAGGAACTTTGGGGCAGAGACTATGGGGTTTTCTGGGTATAGAATCATATCATCTGCAAACAGGAATAGTTAGATTTACTCTCTTACTATTTGAATGGCTTTTATTTTTTTCTCTTGCCTGATTTCTCTGGCCAGGACTTCCAGTACTATGTCAGATAGAACTGGTGAGAGAGGGCATCCTTGTTTTGTTCTGGCTTTCAAGGGGAATACTTCTAGCTTTTGCCCATTCAATATGATGTTGAGTTTGGGTTTGTCATATACAGTTATTATTTTGAGATATGTTCCTTCAATGCCTAGTTTGTTGAGCATTTTTAATATGAAGGGATCTTGAGTTTTCTCAAGTCTTTTCTGCATGTATTGACGTAATCATGTGATTTTTGTTTTTATTTCTGTTTATGTAACGCTTCACATTTATTGATTTGTATATGTTGAACCAACCTTGCACTGCAGGGATAAAGTCTACTTGATTGTAGTGGATTAGCTTTTTGATGTGCTGCTGGACTCGGTTTTTGCAGTCTCTGACCCCTGAGTTTAAGCAATTCTCCTGTCTCAGCCTCCTGAGTGCTAGGATTTTAGGCACCTGCCACCACACCCAGCTAATTTTTATATTTTTAGTAGAGATGAGGTGTGCCATGTTGGCCATTTTGGCCCAGCTGGTCTCAAAGTCCTGACCTCAGGTGATCCACCTGCCTCGGCCTCC